AGGATGATGTGAGTGGATGGATGGATGAGTTGCGCGCCTGTTTGAGTCTGATTTCCACTCAGGGCGACTGTGGTTGAGAGATGAACTGATCTTGGCTGTCAGGTTCACGACCTGAGCTACAAGGCCGTCGATGATGGTGTTAATGGTGGATTTTTAGGTGGTGCTCCGGTGCACTGCTAGATTGCAACGGTCGTATGATATGTGGGATGAACGGAAAAGTAACAAAGATGGTGCTCCGGTGCCTTAAAAAATCATGGGTCGTATGATATATTGATGAACGGATTTTCCTACAAACTGTCACTACTCCTAGGAAAGCAAGTAAAGATATTAAAAGTGCATTACAAGAAGATAAATGATAGGAAAATATAATTTGCTTCGTCGGAGGTTTGTGTTTGGTGTTGACCCCTATAAATGTAGTTGGAGCTTGGTATTTATAGAAGAGGCTTTGGGAGGAAAGTGAGGCTGATATCTGCATGACGTGGTCAATCAAAGATAATGGGTAGTCGGGACAACATTTGGGAATGTGAAGTATGGTGGTGTGACCCCCATAAATCTCAGTCGTCGCCCTGATCGTCGGTTCTGCATCTTGGGCCTTGGAGGAGCATTTAATGTTCTGGTTTGATAGTTGGTGACTTAATCTTACAAGTCATAAGATTTCGCACCTAATCATCCTTATTTTACTCGCCATACACTGACTCCAATCACTTCCCTTCTTCCCTTATGCATTAAATGCAAGGATGAAAATTCTTCTTTTGTGCGGATCGTGGGTCCTCTTCTGCAGTTAGGAGCATTACCTCATTAAATGAAGCGTGAGACCTCAATGACACGTGGCAACGCCCCTTGGTTTTTCCACTTTGGCCGTGTATTTGAGGGGTTACGATTTTCTTCGTTCAAGCTCATCGTGGCCGTGATGATTTCGCCTTCATAGATCTCCCTTATTCTACGAGGAAAAGCGAATGACTACCTTTTGGGCAGGCGCCTTGCCCGAGAGGTTGTTCTTTCGGTCGGCCTCACATGCCGAGATTTTTAGGCACAAACACCACTGATTTCTTCTCCCCTTATTCCCCATGGCCACCACTCGCCCCCATGAACCCAGAACTCCAACAACTACAAAACCCCAGCAACTACAGGAAAGAAGAAAAAAATTCATCTACTGAGGCTTGTTTTGTTTATTTCTTTTCTTTCCTTTGTTGTTTGGTTTTGTTGGAGGATTTGGGTTTGATGTGTGTTATCTCATCAAATAGATGGGTGTGGGGGAGAGAGATTTGGAGCCAAGATTCCACATCTAAAGGAGAAATTGGTGGGGTCCAATGTGAGTTATTGGGTGGGAGAAGAAATCTAGGTGAGGAAAGAAATATGGGTGTATAGGGGGAGATGAGATTTATTTTTAAATTTTTTTGTGTGAAAAGACATTTATGCCCATGCCAAGTTGGACTTGTCCATGCCATGTCATCATTTTTAACGAAAAAGTTGACTGGGCTAATAAAAAGGACGATTTCTAAAAGTGGAGGCATAATTAAAGTACCATTGTAACAATTTAGCAATATGAGGGACTAAAAGTAAAGTTTGGTCTTAGTCCAGGGACATTGCTACAATTTATTCTTTAAAATAGGCTTATTTATGTACATGCCCCCTGTGCTTTAAAACTTGTCTCAGATTACCACCTGTGTTTTGAAACGTCTAAAAATACCCCCCACACTTTTAAAAACGGTCTCACTTTACCCATTTCGTCTGGATTATTGACGTTCTGTTACGAGCTTTGAGCCCCACTTTGTTTCAAGGCTTATTTACTGTAGCACCCCCTGAAACTTCGGTCAAATCTCACGTTACCCCCCCAAAGTTAAAATGACCCACTTAACCCCCTTGACCGTGGTTTTGTGTTCCACTTTCCCCCCACCGTTAACGCCATCCAAAAGACCGTCAAAAAAGCTGACGTGGCAGGGTCATTATGGTAAAAGATACAACAATAAAAATTCAAAAATCCAAAAGAAAAAAGAAACAAAATTTTTTAAAATTAAAGTATTAGTATGGAAAAAAAATATTAATTAAAATTAAATTATTATTTTAAATACTTATTTAATTAAAAAATTGAAAAATTAATATCAAAAAATTCTCTTCTTCTCCATCTTTCTCTCTTCCCCAGCAACCACCGTATAAACCACCAGCACCACCGTACCCACATACCCAAACATCAAACCCACCATCTAAATCACCATATCCATCATAGAGGATTGAAAAATTTAAGGAATTGTTTTGAAGATCAAGGTACTAGAGCTCCCTGAGTTGGCATATAGAGAATGAAATTTTTCCTCGAAAACCATTAACTTACTCCAATCCTCTACCCAGATCCCACCCACACCCATCCCCCTCCTCAGCCACACTAACCCCTTAACCCACCTACCCCAGCCATATCCACCCCACCAACCCAACTTCAGACCTCTCTCTCGCCACCATCACCGTCGCCACACCAGCCAAGAAGCAAGGCAAACAAAACAACCACTTCCAAGAATGAAGGAAGAAGAAAGCCTCCTCTGCACCCAGACCCAATCGGTCCAACTCGAAACCTAAACCCAATTTCTTCACTATTTGGGCAACACCCAGACCCTATTTTCTCTACAACGAGTCATCCCAAGAGTTTTTGAATAAGGAGAACTTCTCCACTGAGATCAAGTATAGGAAAGCCCTTGTTGGGGTTAATGACAGAATACTTGCCCATTGTCTGGGCTAATCGGCGAGGAGGTGGCTGGTAGAGGGATCGGGCTGTGGATGGGTGAGGAGGTGGCTGGGGGTGCGTGGAGAGGTTGGAGCTTTGATTATTTTCTGTTGGTTGGTTTTTTTCTTTTTAATTTAATTTTGTTATTTAAGTAGTAGTGACCCCATGAATGGGTGAAAGAGCATGCTGCAGATCCGAGGAAGAAGAAGCTGAACAGAGGTTCTGTTTTTTTTTTTATTTTATATATATATATAAAAGAAGCTGACCAAAACGGCGTCGTTTTGGCCCAGCTTCTAATTTTTTTTTTAAAACAGACTGGCCAAAACGGCATCGTTTTAGACCATCGAGCGAATTTTTTTTTTTAAAAACGCGCTGGGGCCAAAACGTCGTCGTTTTGGACTAGCTGCAATGATTTTTTTTTTAAAAAGACCTGGCCAAAACGACGTATTAGAGAATAAGGGTTTTTTCAGTTTCAGAAAAGAGGAAATAGGGTATTTGAGTGAGAAGGGGAAATTTGGAGAAGGAGGCTAGGGCTTATCAAAATCTGACAACTGAAGAAAAAGGTTAATAAATTTAGCCTACAAAACCAGAAAATTGAAAGCAAAAACCACCGAAAAAAAGAAACCACCCAAAAAAATTGTTCTTTTCTTTTTTTCGGTTTTCCAACTACTGATGTTAAAAAGTAGATGAAGCAAAGTCAGTATTTTGATCTCCATATTTGCTTAGAAGTCCAAAAGCATCCACAGTAAAAATTAAAATTAGCCAAAACTCATGAAATGAAACAAATTAATGCAGAACACACACCAAAATGTGGTGCTTCAAACCCCTTAACTAAAATTAAAAATAAAAATAAAAATAAAAATTCAGATATTATCCATAAGTGATTTACATCCCCACCAACTGAAGAAAACCCACAAATGTTTCAAGAATCAAACTTTCTAAGACGTTTTTGGGACAGCAAAGTTATAACCCAGAAAACGAACCTAAAACTCAGCAATAAGAGAAATGATCCCAGGTGGGGCTGCAAATTTACCAAATGGAAAAGGAAAAAAAAAAACCCAGGAATTTAGACAAACATTTCAGACGGCTGATGCTTCAGTACTTCTTAAAGCTGCGATGCAAAACACCATAAAGACCTGAAGATCACAACCATCTCACCAACTTCTTCTCTCTCTCTCTCTCTCTCTCTCTCTCTGTGAGATGACCCGGACTTCAACTCTTTATTCAATCCAGTTCACGAACAAATAACTTTATTAACTTAATCCAAATTTTTTAATTTTATCTATTTGAACCCCATCTCAGATTTTGATAAGCCCTAGCCTCCTTCTCCAAATTTCCCCTTCTCACCCAAATACCCTCTTTCCTCTTTTCTGAAACTAAAAAAACCCTTATTCTCTAATGTTAGGCGATTGAAACGAAGTGTGGCCTAAAGCTCGTAACAGAACATCAATAATCCTGACGGAACGGGTAAAGTAAGACCGTTTTTAAAAGTGTGGGGGGTATTTTGAGACGTTTCAAAACACATGTGGTAATCTGAGACAAGTCTTAAAGCACATGGGGCATATACATAAATAAGCCTTTAAAATAAGATGAGAAGAAATAATATGTGGAGAGGGAGAGAAGAAAAGGTGGGTTTTATTCATGAAAGATGCGGCTAGCTGGGAGAGAAGAAATCTCACTTTTTAAAACTATTTCAAATATGCCCACAAATGTTTCAATAATTTTGTTGTGACCCCAATTTTTGTTTTAACATTTTCAAAATGGTCCCTACCTTGTCTTGACTTCAGTTGACCGTGTCCAAAAGTGTCTTGAACGTGTTCAAAATGTGTCTTCACTGTTGACCCGTGTCCAAGCTGTGTTCTCGTGTCAAACACGCCGATACTTCAGCCTGATGAAGTGTTCGTGCTACATAGATATGGAGAGAGGGTGGGAAGGGCTCAGTGTTTTTTGTTTTTTTAGCTTTTCCTTTTTTATTTCTAGTTTCTTAAATTTGTTTCTTAATCACAGTCTCGATGGGGTCAAAAAAGTTTCTTTTAAGTAGTGTAAGAGTGAGTTCACCGTTGAATTTACATTCAACGGTGAATGACCACAAATATTTGGTAATTCAACGGTGAATGACCACAAATATTTGGTAATTCAACGGTGAATGACCACAAATATTTGGACTTCTGTAGGGCAAGAGATCGGGACTGTGCTTAATCAAAAAGGGAGCCAGGTGGCACATTGGCACCAAATTCAAAGTTTGGATGGAATGTCGTCAAAATAAAAAGTTTGGGTGGCAATTGGACACACCCTTAAGACAAAAAGGGTTACGCTCCCAATTTTCCCGCCAAAACAACCCTCATAAAAAATCCTTCTCCACAACTCGAATTTCCGCAACAGAGCACCCAAAAATGGTGTCTGCGACTCCGGCAAGAAACCCTAACCCTACCCCTAAAAGCTCCAAAAATGGGTACCAAATCGGAGGTCTCCAGGTGGAGTTCCCGTACCATCCGTACGGGCCCCAGCTGGCATTCATGAGCAGGGTCATCTCCACTCTAGATCGAGCTCACAGAGACGGCCATTGCCACGCATTGCTCGAGTCTCCTACAGGGACTGGCAAATCGCTTTCTCTTCTGTGCTCTACTCTCGCTTGGCAACAGAATTATAAGTCTAAGCATACGTACGCAAATCTCTCGCATTCCAAACCCGACCCGAAGGCCATGACCGATCCGACAGCTCACGGCGGTGGCTTTGTTCCCGAAGAGGAACCTGCAAGTGCGTACTATTGCGAAAAACCCTAATTTTTTTCTTTTGTTGTTGTTGGATTTTCAAGATTGTGGTTGCTGATTTTTGATCATGGGTTAGAGTCCTGTGTCAATTTCAAAGAGTCCACTCAGTTTTAATTGCTATATTTGTTTGATTAATTGATATTGTGGAATTAAATATGTAATTACCTTTTTTAATTTATAGGCGTTCAACTATCAGAAAAGCCCAAGCCATCCCAATTTGTGGCAAATAATAAGGATCAAAAGAAGCAGACAACGCCTACCATATACTATGCATCGTAAGTTGTTTACTTATTTATTTTTATTTTTTTTGAACTAGCATTTGGAACCTGCTTCCTTTTCATTGAGTCAGCCTTTGGAAAAGACAACATGAAAGATGTTAGAAACTTAGGAATATTCTACATCTCAGCATATGGCGTACTAAACTAGATGCTTCAGGACTTGTTTTACATGTAAAGTTACATGGATTGACCCCTTTGATTTATTTATTATTTTACAAGTCCAAGTCCAACAGTAGAATTGAATAAACACGAGCTTTGAAGTGCTATTGTGTCAAATTCATTAAACTAACATAACTGTCTTCTCTTTTCTACTGTCTGTTTTAGGAGGACGCATTCACAAATTTCTCAAGTCATACGTGAATATCGGAAAACTTCCTACCGGGTGCCTATGGCAGTGTTGGTAAGTTTAGTCCATTCTTTTTATGTTCATAATTAATGTTGATCTCATCTCTCTATAAAGATTTGGCATTAATGAACATTAAGATTTCCAATGACCAGTTTCAGCACTCTGAGTTTACACTTTTTTTAACTGAAGACAGAGAAAAGTTTGATGGAAACTGGAACGTGCTTCCACCCCCTTGAAACCTGTTGCCTTTCGGATTTTTCTTGTTATCTGCTTTGACAGGCTTATTTGAATGTTGAAGTTTGCATGCATCTCTCTTTGTAGAATCTGAATATGGTCACATGAAGAATGCTAATATTTCTCAATATGAATGTTTTGGTAACAAAATATCAAAGTCTCTTTACCTACTCCCCAAAATGCAGTCCATATATCAGAAAAAAGTATTAAGCTCTTCTATAACTTTCTTTTCATTTAAAAAATACTTCAAATAATGTTGCTTTGCGTGTATACTCATAATCATGACTAATTTTCTACCATTAAGGTTGGTGCAGTCTAAACTTACAGTAATGATGGACAACATCTTTCTTATTTGCATGTTTGGGTTTCACCATTTTATTTTATCCAGGCTTCAAGGAGGCATTACTGCACAAATGCACAAGTGCATGGGAAAGAGAATATTGACGAAGAATGGTGCACTGTTAACAGATCTTTGATTTATTCATTTTCCTTTCTCCTCTTATTTTTCTGTCTAAAATCTGTTATTCGAACTTCGCAGTAAGCATCTTTTGAAGAACCAAGAGGTTGGATGTCTGGAATTTAAGTAAGTTATTTAAAAAAAAATTATTGTATACTGCCCTTATCTTATTTGTGTTTGCTCACACTGCCGATGTAGTTACAAGCATACTCCTTTTGAACAATGTAATTAGGACTGTAATCATTTTGAAATTTCTCTTGCAAACAGAAACGTACAAAAGGTCAAAGGCCATGCATCCCTTAAGAAAGGAGGCTGCCATGAGGCCCACGATATTGAAGATCTTGTAAAAGTTGGAAAAGTTGTGAAAGGTCTACTTTGTTGTTATATGTGTAGCATGTGTCATGTGTATACTGCTATGGTTACATCTCACTGAGATTCTCTTTACTTTTCAGGCTGTGCATATTATGCAGCTCGTTCTTTGTCAGACGATGCAGAATTGGTTTTTTGCCCATATAACTACATCATTAATCCAGTCATTAGGGGAGCAATGGAAGTAGATATTAAGGGATCCATTGTTGTTCTCGACGAAGCCCAGTATGTTGTACCACTTCATGTATATATTATTTTATTTTATTTTGCACCTTATTCACTCAGTTTCTGAGAAAATGTTATTAAAACAAATATATAAGCAATCTGAATTTCAGTTTTAGACTGATTGAGCTTCTCTTTGTTTTCCTACATACTTTCAACTTCCAGGATAGATTCTGTTTGACTTTCCTTGCATGTCTTCACAAGCATATTCATGAGGCAAATGCAGACTCAACATTTTCCAATGTCCTGTTGTACTAGATAGTAGAAATGAGGAATTCTATTATTAATATTATGCATTTCCCTGCAGAACATCTATCACCTCTATAAATGAAAATATTTTTTATTATTAGGTTGCAAGATTCTCCATTGAAATATCGAAGGTTTTTTCCACTTGGTGCTTCAGTATATGGATTCTTTTTCCTATGGGATACAAAGTAAAAGGAGATCTTTCCCTATTTTATTTGCTTAAAATTTAAATTTCCTGAACTGGTTTTAACAAAGAATATCTTGCTTTTGCCTTTGATGTCATGTTTGCAACATAGGTGATATTACTGCATGTTTAGAGCGGCAATTCTCAATTAAAGCTCTGAAAAGAGAAAATTACATGTTTTCCTTAGTAATGGTCTTTTGTTCATTTTTTCCCTTCCATTAGATGCAAGCCATTAGGTGCTAAAAAATGTATCCTTTATTACTTTCTCAAACGGTCTTCTCAAAATAACTTGGTTTCAGCAATATAGAGGATGTTGCTCGTGATGCTGGAAGTGTCGATATTGAAGAAGACATTTTGCACAGTAGGATACTAAACTAGTAATATGTATTTTTTTTAGATGTCACTTTCTGTTGCTTATATAGTGGTGATACGTTCTAAAAGAATTGCAGATGGAACTGGAGCAGCTTTGCCCAGTGGATGTTTTGGTATACCAACCTTTATACGAAATGATACAGGTTTGCTTTCATACATCCTGCTTGCAATCGTTTCAAGTAACTGACTGTTGTGATTCTTTGGTCATTAATTACTGCTACATATCTATAGGGCCTCATAAGTTGGATTGAGCGAAAGAAAAATAAGTTGGAAAAACGTGAATTTCAGCACTATGTCTCTTGGTAAGAATTTTGGTTGACATGTTCATCAATTACCATTGATCTTTAATATATCATCAATGAATATTTTCAAGTAACTGTTAAAACAAAATAATGGTTCACGCTATACTGTGGTAAAGTTAAATTTGCTAGTTTGTAATAAAAAAGAAGTAACAGAGTCACCTAATTTCTCACCTGTTCTGTTAATTATCAAATACAGTTCATTTTTAAACAATGATTGATAAGGTGAAAAGTTTTAATGTTCTTCAGGTTTGGCAATCTAGCATTTTGAGTAATTTAGACTGAAATTGGTTTTAATTTCTTTAATTTTAATTTTAACTTTTTATTTGGGTGGGGTGTTGGTACTGCATGTCACAGTTGGACTGGTGATAAGGCTTTGAGAGAGCTTCAAGAAGCTAATGTATCACAGCAGTACTTCCCAATCTTACTTGAATGTGCCACAAAGGTATTTCAGTTATAAGAGTTTCTGATGTTCCATACTGCTTTTTTCTATGTGTAAAGTGTGTTTCTTTGTCAGGCATTCAAAGCTGCAACAGATAAAGAGTCAGATACACCACATTTAAGTGGCATGGCTGTTGTGACATTGGAAGGTAAAGCCTTAAAAAAAATTTAAGTTTAAATGTCCCAAGTGTACCCTGACTTTATATATCAGTTGACTTTCTTTGATAATGTCACACAGGATTGGTCTCTTCACTCACTTACTTTTTTTCAAGAAATGGGTGTCATATGGTTGATTATCAGCTTGCTTTACAACGATATGTTAAAAGAGAGGCTGGTAAGCAGTTAATAGAGCTGTTATCTGTTTATCTTTGAGGACACTGACACCTTCCTGGTCATTTTTTTAATAGAAATCTTCTGTCTACTAGTTTATTTCTCATACAAATTAATCATGTAGTTAGTAAAGCAGAGACATGGTTCAAATTTCGTTTTCATATATATTTTTTAATTGCATTTATAATGAAACAGAAAGGTAACAATGATACATAAGAAGAGGGTAATGATTGGGTCGGTCTCATAATGGTATCAGTGGATGTTATAATTCCTCTTGTTATGCTATCAATCATCTCTCTTTGTGAGCTGCAGTTTGATAAATGGCTTCTGATATTGTACCAGGATCTTCTGGGGACTGGACACATACCTTAAGTTTGTGGTGCTTGAACCCTGCTGTTGTGTTTAAAGATATTGCTGATCTTTCATTGTCCGTCATTTTAACATCAGGGTTAGTATAGCGCAGGTGATTTGTATCACTGTATATTTATGACAATTTCTCCAAATGAATGTGCTTGCCTGTTTATACTTGTGAAGTTGTGACTGACCACATATATCTGCTTCTACTTGTTTGGTTTCCTACATCCTTGCTTCTGTTGCAATGCATGCCCCTAGGTAGAATAGTTTTTACAGCAATACTACGTCTGACCAATCATCTTCGAAATTAGGACTCTGTCACCGATGAATTCCTTTTCATCTGAGCTTGGACTTCAGTTTGGAACAACGCTGGAAGCTCCACATGTAATTGATGTTGAATCACAGGTATAGTAATGCCATTTTTGTTCCTTACTAATAGTTGATTCTTGCTGGTTGCATAGCTCTGGCAGTTACAAATTTTCAGCCTTTTCACTGCAGGTTTGGCCTGCTGTTATTTCTACTGGCCCGGGTACCTTATCATTGAATGCAAGTTATAAGACAGCAGATGAATATGCCTTCCAGGTAATTTGGAAATATTTGGAATTGATTCTGTAATTGAATTTCAATTCGTGCTTTTCCCCTTTGTAAAATAATATTTTTGTTGTCTGTTATTGTGAAGGATGCACTTGGAAAATCCTTGGAGGAAATTTTTAAGATTGTTCCAGGCGGCTGTCTTGTGTTCTTCCCAAGTTATAAGCTGATGGGAAAACTATGCAAGCGTTGGCGTGGAACAGGACAATGGTCTCAGTTAAATGAAAAAAAGAACCTTTTTGTTGGTGAGGCCTTTTCTGTTCCCTTACTCATTCCTTAGCCTGCTTGAGCAATTATTCCTTTAGAAATTCTCTTTAAGATTGTGTTTTTATACTTTATTTGTCTCATGGTTAGTATTTTTGCATGGATGTAAGAGTGGAGCTCATTTTACATTGGTCCTTTTGTTGATATTTCTTTATTGTTACTCTGTTGGATTGTGATTGCTTAGCTGTTATTTGTTAGTGCAGAGCCAAGAGGAGGAGACCAGGAGGAATTCGATTCTGTTTTGAGGGGTTATTACGATTCAATTCATCAGGGTAATAAACCAGTTTTTCGGAGAAAGAAAAGTGCCAACAAGACATCGATCAAAAATCACTTTGCTGGAGTCCAGTGTGCAGGCAAAAATAACACTGATGGAGCTGCTTTTCTTGCTGTGTGCCGAGGAAAGGTGCGCATAATTGTGGTCATGTAAATAGATATTGATAGGTCGTATTTGTTCAGTTTGTGCATGCTCAATTGTTATATTTCTGCTTGCAGGTTTCAGAAGGAATTGACTTCACAGATGACAATGCTCGAGCGGTGGTATCCTTTTCGCTCTCATTGAAGTGTTTTGTCTTTTGTCATGTGATTTTTATTGTTTATTTTGTTTGGGAGGAGAGGAGATGGATGAGTTTAGACATCATAATTTCTGGTTATTTGGTATGGCTAATAGAGTAATACAGTGGTCACTTCTTTTATATAATTGTCTATTTATCTTAACTATCTCAGATAATTGTCGGCATTCCATTTCCCAACATGTAAGAAGCTTTCTTTTTATTATTCATGTTTTGGAGCGGAAATGCCTTACATGAGTAACAATTGGCTGATTGTTCTCAACTTCTTTTTAGAAATGATATTCAAGTTGCCTTAAAGAAGAAATATAATGATACATATAAATCATCCAAAAGCCTTCTGAGTGGGAATGAGTGGTACTGCCACCAAGCCTTCCGAGCTGTAAATCAAGCTGCAGGTATACCCTAAGGTTTCAATTTTTTTCCATTTTTGTTTGGAGTTTTCTGTGCACCATCTGATTTTTGTTTATTTTTCAAATTCTGTACTAACTGGCTTTCTACTTTGTGCAGGACGTTGTATTCGCCATAGGTTTGACTATGGAGCTGTCATCTTATTAGGTAGGCTTCTTGACCATAAGTTCTTATCTCTTAAAATCATTGATGATTTTATTAACAGAAGATATATTCACCTGCAAATATTTTGCATTACGGGTTTAAACTCAGTGTCAGCTAAATATTATCTTGGCTTTTTATCACAAATGGTCCTTAACGTTTAAGATTTTATCACGAATGGTCCTTGAGGTTTTTTTGTGACACTAATAGTCCTTAACGTTAGGGCTTTTTATCACAAATGGTCCTTCCGTTAAAAATTCTGTTAAGTGTCTGATGTGGAAGACAAGTGGAGCCCATATTCCAATCACATTGTGACATGTGGATGGAAAAATAATTAAATAATTTTTTTTTATGAAAATTCCTTTTTTTTTTCTACAACTTTTCATCTCCCTTCCTCTACTCCATCTCTCTTCCCCTCTGCCCTTGCTCTCCATCCTCTCTCTCCCCCTCTGCTCTCCCTCTCTCCCCCCTGTCCTCTCCTTCTCCCTCTGTAAAAATAATAATATAAACCATATATCTTTCTCCATCTTTGTATAGTGGTATATAAATCATAACCCACAATCCCCCTTTGTTTTTTTCTTGCCCATTGCCTGCCACCTGCAAGAAAAAATTGTCTTTGGGATTCTTTTATTAGTCTCTGTTTTTTTAACACAGCCACCCGCAAGCCGCAACCCACGCCCAACTCCCCTACCCTCTCCCACTGTATTTTCTCTCCTCCTCTACTCTACCCCTCTGTTTTTAATTATTTTAAGTTGTTTGAAAAAATATTTGCGTAAAAGGAAATGTGAAACTACCTTGTGCAAGTGATTATGCAAAATATACAGAGGGAGAGGGGTGGGTTGCGGGTGGGTGGGCATGGGGTGGTCGGGCTGTAGAGGCAAGGAAAAAACAACAGAGGGGGAGGGAGAGCACAGGGAGGAGAGAGGGCAGAGGGGAGGGGGAGAGAGACAGAGAGAGAGTGGATTTTCATTAAAAAAAATATATATTATTTATTTATTTATTTAATCCACATGTCATGATGTGATTGGACATGTGGGCTCCACTTATTACACTTAACAAAATTTTTAACGGAGGGACCATTTGTGATAAAAAGCACTAACGTTAAGGACTATTAGTGTCACAAAAAAACCTCAAGGACCATTCGTGATAAAATCGTAAACTTTAAGGACCATTTGTGATAAAAAGCCTATTATCTTTATGCAAGCTGTTTTTGAAGCTCACATTTGACTAACTTCAGCCTCATCTTTTGTACTTTTTGCTATTAAATTATTCCACGTTTTTTTCTTTTCAATTTTTTTTTTCCAGCTGCTCACAATGTTAAAGGTTCTTTAAACAGATGTTTTGAAAATTTTCTTTTTCTCTTTTTGGGTGTAGTTATTAATATTTTGCTGTTTCCATATCTACCTTTTAATATTTTTTCTTTATCAATTTAATGATTATTCCAAGCAGACGAACGCTATCGGGAAGAAAGAAATACCGCATACGTGTCAAAGTGGCTAAAGAAATCCATTAGACGGTATGAGAACTTTGACAAGTCATTGGAGGAATTAAAATCCTTTTTCAGTGATGTCAAGGTTAGCTGCATGTTCCCACTATTTTTCTTTTCTCTAATACTACTTTTCTTATTGCTTTTAGTTGGATGAACAATATGAAGTATTAACAAATTGGTTAACCTTCATACAGGAAAGGGTAAGCAATAACATGGTTAACGTATCACAGACTTTTGAGACTAAAGAAGAAAATATTCATTCTATGGGTCAAAGTGAAGGATTTACAAAAGTGAAAGAAAAGAAATTGAAGAAATTTGATCCCTGCGAACAGCCAGAGAATTCTGAGATGAAGCATGATGCCCTGCTGAAATCTCAAGATGCTTTGGAAGTTCAGAAATTTGTGCGAATAAATGAGGATGCGGACCATAGCAAGGAAATTATTGATCCAGAATGTCGTCTTCAGAAAGATTCAAGGTAAATGTTGCACTAGTTTCTCTACATTAAAATTCATGATTGCTCAAGTAGAGTTAATAGCCTAAAATTAACTAGTTAAGGACACGAATAAGTCTGCTTTCAGGGCATAGGAAGTACCTATTCTAAATGAGTATCCCTTACTAAAAACTAAGCAATATTGTGCGAAATCCATTGATAACTTCTAGAGTTATTTTGATTGATTGTGAAGTTTTCTAGAGTCTCTTTATTTTTTATCAATCTAGATGCCTTTTAGGTGTTGGCCTGGTTTCTGGTTGTGTGGTAATTGTTTGTAGTTGCTTGATTTGAAAGTTTCCAACCAAGTTTGAGTTTCCCTAACTACTTAATCGGGGCAGCTAGAACCTAGCTATGTTGTATGGTTTAAGGGCCTCTTCACTAGGCAAAGAAAAAAGCCAAAATTGTTTTATAACACTAATTCTGCATTCAATTTTCTCGCTCTAGGAAAATTGCCCACTCCATTGTCACTGTCATCTTGATATTTGGTATTTGTCCCCTATGATAAAGTCATTATAAAGGAAGTTTTAATGGGTTTCTTTCTGAAGGCCTTTGAGTTTTAACAAATCTCAACCCATGAGCTTCATGATCACAAATTATATGGCTCAAGTTGAACTCAGGCTGAGCTCTATATGTGTGTTCAGACTAAAGCTTGGCCCGGATTCTTCTTAGTCAAGTGGATTTGGAAGGTTCAGTTTAATGTCTTCTTAGGGTGAAACATTTCCTACACAATTAACCTTGTCCATTTCTGGGTGGAAACAGAACCGTGGAAGTCATATATTCATGTCTTCTTTGTGGCATCCATAATAGTGAGTTACATGTGGATAATGATCTAGATGGATTTGATTAAGACAACTTGTATGTAGTTGATTCTAGATAACTAGATATGTTATGATATATCTTCCCGCTGACAAAGAAATTATTAAACAGTTTAATCTCTCACATAATAAAAGCCATTTCTTTTCAGGTACCCAAAGCCATCTTTGTTTACGGCATTCTCTGATGCAGATCCTGACATTTCCATTGTCCAGGAAACCCCTAATATGGATGGTATCATTTCCACATACAGTCCAGGGTACTTGAATAAGGATGAGAATTCTGGTTCAACTTCAAGCACAATTGAGGCCTCTTCTGACTTTACAGATCATTTGTCATTTCAGTCAGCATCCTTAACCAATAGTAGCAAAGCTTCTCCAAAAGCCCAGTGTGGCTTTGCAGCTACTCCTGAAAAGAATGTGAATTTGAGCATACAGAGCTCGATGCTAGAAATAGACTCATATTTGAATTTGAGTGTAAATTCTCATACCCAAAAAAGGAGAAAGTCCATGTATTCACCGCTGGCTAACTTTGTTTGTGGACAGTGTGATGCTCCTGATTCCAGAAGCCCTGATTCTACTAGTTCCGTAAGATCAATGGCAACTATAGACACAAATCGCCGAATTGAATTTAGTGTTGAGACTAATTGTTCAGGACACAAATCCAATGTTCCTCATGTGCTCACAACTAGTAATTTGGTTGCTTCATCCATGTCCGTTGTTTGTGTAATGGACAAAAGACTACAAATTTCTTGCTTACTCTGCAAAACTCCATTGGGCCTTCCTGAGAATCATCTATATCTAGCATGCTCAATAACTTCGTCATCGAAATTTCACTTAGAATCTCTTCATAAAGAAGTATTGAAGTCTCACACTGGGAACACATCCACAGGCATACCTGTTATCATAACTGACATTTCATCAGTTGATCAGCGACTCTGCAACAGAACTTCTGAAGGTGCTCCTCGGCAGGGTATATGGTGTGAAGAAGATGGTTGTGTTTTCAGTACCATCTTCTGCCCCTTCTGCATTAGCCACAGTAATTGCCTTGGAGTACAGGTCATGGCGGCTAACGCATCAAATGTTCATTTACTGAACAAGGTAGGTTCTTTTTAAATTTTACTGGTCACTGGATTGCATGCTGCTACACTACAAAAAGTGTTTTCCCATTGTGCCTGAATCTTGCAGTCTTTTGGATAGAAGTTATTGTTGAGTATCACATTTCAATGTAAATAGGATTTCCACTGTGCTTACATCTTTGCAATCTGTTAGTATTAAAGCGTGGTATATGGTTATTATTAATAGCCGGGATTATTTGGTGTCTTCTTTTCTCCCCTGACTTATTGTTTTGTTGGTTTTCTAATCGAACTGCAGATGCTGTTTTACTTAGATCAGTTGCATATTCAAAATCTTGAAGCGTCTAGTGACAGGGCTTCAGAAGAGAAAGTAAGTTTAAAAATGGTCTTACAATATATTGGGTCATGTTAGTATGGTAGATTTGGTAATAATGCTAAAATGAAGAAGTAATAATTTGAATCAACTGACAAAGGCAAGGGAGACGCAGGACGCATGCAGTCTCCTTTATGCAGTTACGTTTTAAATGTCCAAGATCGTCTAATTAGCACTCCTCGTATGTTGGCTTGTAGGATATCTTGCCTGTTGTTGATCCAAGCTTGGATAAAGCTTCTATTCTAAATTCCTTTGATAAATTCTCATACTCCCCACTAGAGCAGAACACGGGAGGCTGGAGGACTACAAAATCAAAGGTCAGCAAATAAGGAACATTTTCCAATCTGATGATTATGATGCATTCTTTCAGGCCAGATGTGATGTTTAATTTTTCTAATGGTGACAGCTTAAACTACCCAAAAGACGCTTACTTCCTGAAGCAGAGGGTTAACGACAGAAATTGTCTTCATATCTGATTTTGTTACACATATCACCCAGGAGATGCCAATGTAGATGTGCTGCCTCACATGATTTACAGTGTGAATATGAAGCTGAGACAAGGTGTTGTTTGTTTATTACTCAGGCAACATTCAATCAAAAGAAGAAAAAAAGAAAAAGAGAAGAGAAAAACTAGCGAGGCAATCTAGGTTCTTGTAAATAAACTGTATTTCTTTAAACTATTGTATACTGCATTAACTATAGAGTTTTGTTATGACTAAAGTGGCAGCAGTTGATTTTGTATTATGCCGCTCGATTTTGCAGTTATGAAAGTGAAACCGCTGACCAGTTTCTGTAGCTGCATTTTTCTGTAGTAAAAGAAAGGAGCTAGTTTTCCCTCATTTCATATCAAACTCACTCTTTCCTCTTACAAATTTACAATTACATAAATATGATCCACCAAGTCAATTTGCTTCTTGTAGCTGTAATGCAAATCTTCGATATTTTTGGTTGAAAAGTATCTGAACTCTTTCGTAATTTTCACCTGACTTCTTTGAAAGTTGATGGTCAATCAAACGCCACAAAAACGAGTCCTGAATTAGAGATCAGCTGGTTTGAACGCTGGGTTATTTTGTTGTTGTACTAGGTTGATAGCTGGTTAAAAACTTGAGTGTTAAAGCAATATGTATGCTTTTCGAAGGTTTAATATTTTATTATTTACCCTCAAATTTTCGAACTCATTTCAATTATAGATGGAGACCTGAAAATTCCTAATATGAAGCATCAATAGACAGCAAGATCAAGTTTTCTGTCCATGCATTCTATTCTAACTTGTTCTTGGGGTTATTTGATTCATAGAATTAGACCATGCATTCTATTCTAACTTGTTCTTGGGGTTATTTGATTCATAGAATTAGAGACCAACTGCATATCAAGGTATCGCATAATCAAGGCTCTTAGCATGAAGGTGATTGTCTTGATTATGTTATAGTTTGGTATGACACATTATATCGTATGATAATCATACAATGTTTGTTTTAAGTCAAACATAGTAGATATTCTTTCTAACATGTCGTAATTTGATGGTGGATCATCTATCCATGAGTTGGTAAAAAAAACAAAGGAAATCATCCATCCATGAGTTCTCTATTCATATTACTTGTGAAAATCACAGTTTGACGCATAAATAAAAATTTATGTACACGTATCAAACTACAGAAAAAGATGAGTTTTTTTTTTTGGTCAATAAAATCTGAGTTTTTTGAAGGAGACAAATGTTTTTAAAAAATAAAAAAGTGAATTTTTGCCATTTTTCATCTCGCATCTCCACTCACCACTCTCCTCGTCACTCTGTCACCGTCTTATTACATGGTTGATCTGTTGGTTCGCTAACCATTTGTATCTGCTGACTCCGTTTCACTTTCATGGCGTTTCATGGTGCTTTGCATTCGCTGCGATCTCTCGGCAGGGCGCCCAGGTACCCTTTGTCTTACCTTGTTCATTCACCAATTTCATCCTCTCTCTTTTCAACCCTTTACGCTCAATCAAATTCATTGCACGATGAACATCGGATCAATAACCAATCTACTCTTGACGAAAGTTTTGTTCTTGATCAACTCTCTAATCTGCTGCCAATTTCCCGTAGTAATAGTTCAACTGCAACCCTATTTGAATCCGGTAATTCGGATAAGCAGATAGAAATTAGGGCCGTTGATGGATTTTTATTGCCCGACGAGAAATTACGTGGGGTTTTTCTTCAGAAATTGAGGGGTACGGCTGCAATTGAGCATGCTTTAGACAATGGTGGTGTGGATTTGAGTGTTGATGTTGTTGCACAAGTAGTGAATAAAGGGGGTTTAGGTGCAGAAACAATGCTTGTATTTTTTAATTGGGCGATTAGGAAGCCCACCATAGCTAAAGATATCGAAACTTACCATATAATCCTCAAAGCATTAGGCAGAAGAAAGTTCTTTACACATATGATGCAAATTTTGCATCACATGGGCGCCCAAGGTATAAGTCCCAATTTAGAGACCATATCGATTGTAATGGATAGTTTCGTGAGGGCTCAACATGTGTCTAAGGCAATCCAAATGTTCCGAAACTTGGAAGAAATTGGTTTGGAGTGTGATACTGAGTCTTTGAATTTGCTTTTGCAGTGTCTTTGTCAGAGATCCCATGTTGGTGCTGCAAATTCGTTTCTGAATTCAGTCAAGGGGAAGATACAATTAAATGGTAATACATATAATATTATTATTGGAGGGTGGTCAAGACATGGAAGAGTTAGTGAAATCGAGAGGATTTTGGAAGCAATGGTAGCAGATGGATTTAGAGCTGATAGTTCAACTTTCAGTTTCATTCTTGAGGGTTTAGGGAGAGCTGGTCGTATTGATGATGCTGTTGAGATTTTTGATAGCATGAAGGGGAAAGGTTGCGTGCCAGACACCAGAGTTTATAATGCTATGATTTCTAACTTTATCTCTGTTAGAAATTTTGAAGAATGTGTGAGATACTATAAGGGTATGTCGAGTAATAGCTGCGATCCAAATATTGATACTTATACCAAATTGATTGCTGCTTTCCTTAAAGCCCGAAAAGTGGCTGATGCACTCGAAATGTTTGATGAGATGTTAGGTCGAGGACTTGTTCCCACTACAGGGACAATAACCTCCTTTATTGAACCCTTGTGTAGCTATGGTCCACCCTATGCTGCTATGATGATCTACAAGAAAGCAAGAAAGGTTGGATGCAGAATATCACTGAGTGCTTATAAGCTATTGCTTATGCGACTTTCTAGGTTTGGTAAATGTGGAATGTTGCTAAACATTTGGGAAGATATGCAGGAATGTGGATATGCTTCAGATATGGAAGTTTATGATTATGTAATTAACGGACTTTGCAACATAGGGCACCTTGAAAATGCTGTACTTGTCATGGAAGAGTCTTTGCAGAAAGGCTTTTGCCCAAGTAGGCTTGTTTATAGCAAACTAAACAACAAACTACTTGCTTCAAATAAAGTAGAGAGGGCTTATAAGCTATTTTTAAAGATTAAGCAGGCTCGTCGTTATGACAATGCACAGAGATTTTGGCGTTCTAAGGGATGGCATTTCTGAATTGACATCTCAGCAGTGGCATGTAATGATGCGTTGTGTGCCCTTTGTTTTTCCCTCCTACAGCAAGTTATGGACTTACCCACTGGAAGAGTGTCTGTTCTCACTGGCAGATCCACCAAGGGGAAAAAGGGGTCTATTGACTCCATGGTTTAATTTGCGTCCCACGGATTCTAGGTGTCTGCCCCTGTGGTTCTTGCTTTTGTTCCCTAAGAGGCGTTTGACAAAATGCCTGAAAGAGGGAACTATGTTTCCTTGCGGAAAAATCTACGAATGAATGATAGGCAACGTCACTTAACCCCCATGAGGACTGAGAGCTTCTTCATATTGCCTCATGAGGAAAAATTCCAGGATCCCTTCTGGCTGTTCTAGTAAGCATGTCTGTGACCCTTTAAATTATTTGTTATATTGCCTGCTTTATACAGTAAGAATGCTCTTACTTTTAGCATTCACAAATTTCAATCCAAAATATATTGTTTTGTTATTAAATTAATCCAAGATTTCTTTTTCAAATTTTTCAGTAGCTCACAATGCAAAAGGTTCCATAAACGCAATTTGTTTGAATTTTTTTTTCCTTATCGGGTTTATTTATTAATGTTTATTGCAAGCAGATGAACGTTATCAGACAGCGGGTGTCAAAGTGGCTAAAGAAAACTCATTAGTGGAGTTAAATTCCTTTTTCAATGATATCAGTATTTGCTGTATGTTCCCACTTGTATTTATTTATTTTTTTCTGATTCTTTTTCATTGGGCAAACATCGAGTATTAACAGATTGATTAACCTTCTTGCAGGAATGGTAACCAAGAATATGGTTACTGTATTACAGAGTTTTGACCATAATGAGGAAACTATTCATTCTATGGCTCAAAGTAAAGGATTTAGACGAGTGATATATTAGATATTGAAGTTTGATTGTTTCAGACAGAAAGAGACCTCTAAGAGTCCTGTGTCTTGAGACCTCAAAGTGCCCTGTGTCTTGGGACCTGTGCTCTTGCCTTGCCTCTGACTTTGTCTTGCCCTAATTTTTTTAGGGTTTTCTTTTACCTCACCGTGTCCTTGAACTTGCCGTTTATTCTCTGCAATGTCGTGTTTATTCTCTTGCTGTGTTGTCGCATAATCAGTGGGTGATAAGAAAGACACTAAGAGTGATGCCATGGCTCTAGATCTTCCAGGGTCATGAGACCCACTCATGATTACTCTTCGCCTATCACTGACAAGTTGGATGGCGCAAACTTTGCCTCTTGGTCCGGAAGTGCTCAATTGACAGTCACTGGTAGTGGTACGGTGGGATATATTGATGGAAAAAAGACTGCTCCACGAGCAAATGGTGATGCCTATTCCATGTGGGAGGAAGAAAACCGGTGTCCAGTATTGGCTTCAAGTCTGTGAGTGTTCATAATGACAGGGCAGATGTGTTCATATTTGTTGAGGAACTTGTTGATTTTGCAGTATGCTTCTCATTTGTGGTTTTGAAAGTGAAATCAGTAACAAGTTACCTGCTTGTGCAATACCAATCTTCTATAGCCTTTTAAGTTGATTAATGTTACATTACAAGTAAGATTCTTATCTATAGTCATGTCCATCGCTGAAGAATGAGCTAATCATTTGCCACTTTTACCGGAATTAATCAACATAGTTGTTCCTGTTAACCCTCAAATTTTCGTAATTTTTTGTTTGAAAGTTAGAGGTTTGAATGATGCGTAATAAAATTCTAGTCATGATTTGTACTTGTTTTGAACATAGCAATTTTTGTTTTATGCTTTTCCATGTAGATGCTCATGCCTTGGGCTTGTGTGAAAAACCTACAGGAAAAGTTTCTGAGTTTCCTAATAACATACCAGGTTGCGCAGTTGCATTTGCCCCCGTCAGGTATTTCGACTAGGAATTTAAGACAGCAATAAGGATTTTGTTTTTCTTTCTATTAGTTTAAGGGTTGGCTCCTTAAAACTAAGGGGTAGTGCCTTCTCAAAGCAAATGGGATTTTGACACTTGTTAAATACCAAAACTAAGAAAGTTAAAAGAATTTCACAAAACATAAAAAGTTAAATGAAGTTGACGAGTGCCAAAATCACGTTGTTATGAGGAGCTCCTACTGAATTTTAAGAAACCAAGCTTTACCCTTCGCGGAGGTACTATTGATTGAATAAACATTATCATATGTTTCAAAACCATTTCAATGAAACATGGGACCTATTGAACCCAGAAAAAGGAAAAATAAAAATAAAAATCTTACGCCCCAAAGAATATTAGCAAAAATATAACTTTTTTATGTATACATGTAAATGTTTGCTAAGTAACGTGTGTTTCATATGTTTCATCCACAAAAGCCTTCTCTACTATAAAATACTGTCCATTAAACTCAACATGATACGATTATATTCAAGCACAAAAATAGGGAAAATTAACAGCATCATCCAACTACTTCAAATCTTCAACCCGATGGTAATGCCTTTAGATCAGTGGAACGTCCATATTACCAATCAAAATTTCCAAATCCTGCAGAGAATAAACAACCATTTAAGAAATAAGAACAATATTTGTTCAAAGATGTCATAAGCATGCTTGTGCATGTAGTATTGTATCTGATTGTAAGTGCGACGCAGGCACGTGATTCCATTGTGTTACACTCACAATATCAAAACTGCTAGAAGATCTTATCCTTTCTATCAGACAGCGTATCCAAGAGAAGAAATTCAGTACCTAACTCGGGACTTTGAAGGTACATATTTTCCGCCCTCGGTGCAGAATTGTCAAGGGACATGATGTCCTCTGGTTTTGTCTTTTCATCCCTGGGAGATTCAACTTCTGGCTCTGCTTCTGATTCTCCATTGTTTTGTGCTGGCACAGATTGCTTTCTTTTTGAACGAGCTCTCCTGTTCTGGAACCAGTTGTAGACATTTGTTTCAGATATCTGGCCATGTTGTGTGAGTTCCATGGTTATCTCTTTGATCTTCTGCTTGCATGGAGTTCCAGTGCCTTCCTCGAAAATCCGCTCAAGCATTTGAAGTTGCACAGGTGTTGGGGTCCAGCGCTGCCTTGCAGTTATCTTATGGCCACCAGATGCCATGAATGGATCACAATAAAAATTCCCCAGTCTCATTCCTGAACCAGAAAAATCGATGATTATGGAAGGTGGATGCCCATACCAAATAAAATAATTCATTTCTGCAAAAACACCTTCACAAAATTGACACAATTTTGAATATTTGTAAACAATAGAGTTTGGCTTTCACTTTCGCTTTAGATGCCATAATTAGTCCAAATTAGGTGAATACAATCAAATGAAAGAGAAGGAGACACTGATTCTTGGGCACCACACTTAGAATTAGAAGAGTAACAGCAAGCTGTTTTAAAGAACAAACATGTTCAAACTACCACGGAATCCTCTCACATTTGAAATGAAAAAGTTCATAAACAAAGAAACTGGGGTTGAACATTGATTCTAGGGCAGTTATCTTCTGGTCACCGGATGCCATGAATGGATCGTAATAAGAATTCCCCATCCTCATTCTTGAATCAGAAAGACTGATGATTGTAGGCAATGGAAGTCCAGACCAAATACAATAATTTCTTTGACAAAACTCTTCACAGATTGACATAAGTTTGAATATTTGTAAACAAGATAGGTTCACTTTCCCTTATACTTTCATGTCATAAATAGACCCAGTAGTCCAAATTAAGTGTTTTATGTCATAATCAAACAACAGGGCAGGAAAAGGTGATTCTTGCGCACAATACTCAAGATTAGAAGAAACAATGGAAATTGCTCTATGAAGTTATGAACCATACGAACCCATATATGCTAAGGACAGGGAAGATGAAGAATAAGAGAAGAGAGTGGAAGCAAATGGAGCAAATGCGCAGGAACTGCCGGACAATTGGTACATAGAGAACCCAGAAATCAGAGAGAACAACTACACCCAGAAATCAGATACAAATTGGACAACTTAAAAGGACGAAGAAAAAGAACGGAAAACAAAATGGAGTTTGTATAAAGGCATCTAAATAATAGCTTTTCTTTTACTTGACAAAATTTAAAGAACAGAAACTAAGTACATAATCGTCATATGCTTCACCGAATTCCCAAAAAGAAGAAGAAAATGAAACAATAAAAGTAAAGCAAAAAGCATAAACCCCAAATTGGAACAGAAATCATCAAATCTCATGAATTAAACCCATAAAATTACGCCAACAGGAACATTAATGATCGATCAACCATGGCAATAGCAATTAAGAAACAAACTCAATTGTATTGTACCAACAAAAAGCAAAAAGAAACAAACCCAAATGAGAGAGAGAGAGAGAGAGAGAGAGAGAGAGAGAGAGAGACCAGTAAGATCCTGTTGAGCAGTGACGGCCTTGTGCATCTCAACAAGCTGCTCACAAATGGTGGCGTAGACAGCGATCTGTCGCCTCAGCAGCTCCATTTGCTCGTCCGTCATCACCTTCACGTACAACCCTCCATTCCCATTTCCAATCCCATCTTCTGGGTTTTGCAAATGGTGGATTATTTGCTGTTGATTCTGAATCTGCTGCTGCTGCTGCTGCTGCTGCTGCCACTCCATCATTCTTGCTTTCTACTTCGCTTTTTCTTCACCTAGCTTCAGCGTTGGCTTTGGCTTTAGCTAGCTGCTCTAACCATTTTCTGACTTTGTTGCGTCTTTGATTGACTCACTGACTCGCTTTAGAGAGAGAACTGTAGAAGTATAGAAATTGGGAGTAAAAGTGAATGGGGGAGCAAATGTTCTTCTTCTCGAGTCAATGGTGTCAGAGGAAACCTCCAAAAAGTGAAGTATTGATTGAGGAAGTTAAAGCGTAAACAACGGAATTGGAGTCGCTGTATTTTAGCATGTAATTGCTGCGGACTTTGCAATAATTTCCAGTCCGTTTGCTTTTCGAAACCAAATTAGATGCCAAATCATGTGTTATATGCCACCTCATCAATTTATGTTAAGACCAAGTCCTAGGCCGAAAGCCAAAATTGGGAAATTTTCCGCTAGATCAGCTTCTGTCTTAGTTTAAGAATTAAGAGCTTAGGAATGGATATGAAATTGCATTCTCATATTTGGTAACCGCATTATTTGAAATGCAATATCTAACTCATGAGTATGAATGAATGAACTCCCTCCTCTGAGAATTTCATATTTTAAACATGTTTGGTAACTGCATAATTTTTGCACAAATGCCCAAATTTTGAAATTCTTATTTAAATGCCGTATATAAAAACTCCTTATTTGCCAATTAAGACAAGCCTATGGTTTAGGAAGCTGCTCTTTCTTCCCAATGTAACAAAAGAGAACTATCATTCGAAGGAAAAGTATTTTCGGGAGAATACATTCGCCACCCTCTTAGAACAAGAAAAAGTATTCAAGGCTTGCACAGATGAGGATGATATTTCCAAGTTGTCGTTACTCTATTTAGCAGTCTTCGTACTATTCGGTACTCAAAAGCATGTTAACATGGATATGAGATTTTGGAAGTAAGTTGAAGATGTGGTTGAATTCGAGAAGTGTCCTTGGGGGCAATGTTATATTCAAAGACGCATTAGTCATTGTCGAAGGATCTTTGTGATGAATTACTACGAAATATAGGACACCCTCCTCTAAAAGGTACGACAATGACAAGAAAAATCCGACCATAACATAGCATAACCCATTACCCCATCCCCTACCAAGTGCACATTAGTTCAAGTCCAGAAGATCCATTAACTTGGTCTTTTTCCTTGCTACATGAACCAGGCTGTGATGAACCATGCCATCTCCACTCCTGTTCAGAACTTGCCAAACACTAAACTCTTCAATCTCTTTTCGAGTGAGTTGTGGTGAGACGAGAGTTGAATAATTACGAAACATTTCGAAGTCGGTGTTGAAAGTTGACAACTATTTCATGGTTGAATCAAATGAGAACATTTGAGAAAAAAGTATTTCAGGGAAAATACACCTATTAGTAATAAGGTTTATTACTAGTTTATAATTAGGAAGCGGCATGCCTCTACAACGGCTTTTCAGATAGCCAACTTGATACACACATGCCTAGCAACTAAGCCTGAAGAGCACCCCACCGCAAATGAAGTTTTGGAGCCATTTGAGGTCATTAATGTTGTGCGCGGTGGAAGTAGATTTCACAAGATAGCCAAATATGAAACCTAACACAACAAGAGCAAGTTATGGCAAATACAGAAATCCAAATAACACAAAGGATTTATACTGGTACGGCTACTGGCTACTGTAGAGGTGTCAAACGGGACGAGCTAGTCTAGCACGACACGAGCCCAGCCCGTTTAAATGAGGCACAGCATGGCACGAGCACAAATATTAATTGACCAGGATCAAAAAATGAGGTCCAATGGACCGGGCTTGGCCCAAGCCCGCTTCAAGCATGGCATGAGTCCAAGCCTACTTCAAGCACGGCCCACTTAACATTTTTTTTTCTTTCTCAAAAGTCAAAATGCAATCATTTGACATCTAATGTCATTGTTTATATGTTTTTATTTTATTTTTATAATCATAAACATATGTTTGATGTCTTTCGTTTTAGGGAAATTACTTGGGGCCTTAATTAATTAAACATATCAACTACAAATTAATTAAACAACATTGGACTTGATATCTAATCAGTACATATGACATATACGCTTCTCTTATAATCAAAGCAAGACATTTCTTCACATATAAAACAATAAGATGTTTAAAGATGAAAAGTTGAAGTGGACTTTGTGGAGTTAGACAGTTTTTGCCCTCCGCCCTTTCATATTGTTTGAATGTTTGATTGATTAATGTTTTCAAATAGTTCATAATTTCTTGCCTCTAATTATATTTTTAATGTTTATAATTTGAATTATCTAGTGGAAAAAAAAAATCAAGTGAAAAAAATTCAAATTAAATGGGTTAGTTCTTGGGCCCAAGTATGGCACAAGCACATGCCCAACCGGCTCGTTTCAATGTGGACATGGGCTTTGGGCCGAGCTGGGATCAATGATTTTACTAATTGGGCCGGATCAAATTAAATGGGTTAGTTCTTGGGCCCAAGTATGGCACGAGCACATGCCCAACCGGCTCGTTTCAATGTGGACATGGGCTTTGGGCCGAGCTGGGATCAATGATTTTACTAATTGGGCCGGCACGGCATGGCCCGATAAATTAAATGGGCCGACCTAGCCTAGCACGAAAACGTTAAAAGCACGAGTTTAAATGAGACGGGCTGCCCAGCACGGCCCATTTGACACCTCTAGGCTACTGTATAGCCTATGTCCAGTTTGAAGACGGCGAGGAAATTCCACTAATAACAAAAGGAGCCAAGAACAAATCTCATATTGCTCACAGAGAAGAGACTCAAAAGAGAGCTATTACAGAGAGATAAAACTACTACAAACATAAGGGACAAAATAGGAGAACCAACCCAGAAGTACAACTAATGTGCAACAATCGAACACAAAGTTGCATCAACCTACACACAAATGCAAGAGCCTTGATCTCTCACCAAATTTGTTGTTCTACCTGAACACTTTGAGTAGCCAAAGAGAAGCTTACCTCACTCTCCCACAAAGTATTCAACCCACCAAGGTCAGACAAGAGGATCACTCTTCAAATACGTGCTTGCCTTTTGTTTCTCTTACAAATTTGGTGCAACACCACACTAAGAGCAAAAGAAACAGTTTGAGCTCTTTCAATAGTGTTATGTGACACACACCAAAAGTCAGAACAATATGTCCTTATGTATTTCACACGGCTGCCATATCTTCCAAATGGCTTCTCTAAGAAGACTCCAAAGGAATGGTTAATAACAGTCCAAATCACCAAGTGACACGGCCAACTAAATGACCACACATCCAATTGGTACAAATTGGGCCAATAAGTCAACAATCTCCACTTGGCACAAATTATACCAAGTAAACAAAGTAGAATCTTCCTCCAACGTCTTCCTCTGAAAAATATAGAACAAACTCAAACCGGAAAGTGTCTTGATCATAACAGAAGTGATTCAGAAGAAGAATTCTAGCTTCTCCAACATCACCAACAGAATCAAGCACACCTTAACAAAGCTGAATGAAAGTGCCAACATGCACTTTACAAGATGCTTGAACGTCAAGCTCCACATGCTCAGAAACACCAAGCCTTGAACTTACACCAACAGTCCAAACAACAACCAGATAGCAGGGACATACAGATTCACCGAGAAGTCCATAGACCAAATAGAGTTAGAAAACATATACCTTGTCTTCTCCAAAAGGGATCCAAACAAATGTTCTGCAAATATATGTGGTGTCTCCAAAATAGTGTGGTGTATCTCTATCCAGATTTCACAAAACCTATCATATGGCCTCAAAAGGTATACACCGAATCAAAACCTAAAACAGAAACTGATGAATAGGCAACATTGTAGCACCAATAACTATGTTATGCCGAAATACATAAAGGTCACCAGGCAACTCCACATAGCACAACGAAAGCATCTATACAAACTCTTGAAACTCCAACATGTGCATTAAACTAATAGCCTTGAGAGTAGAGAGTACCCAAAGACACCAGATTCCTCCCCAAATCTGGAGTACCCAAACATCGAATCACATGACAAACTTAAAGTTTTCCACACGACATTCGCAATTGCACAAGCCTTAGAGGAATTATCAAAAGACTCATATTATTTGTGTCTTGGGAAATCAACTTTACAATTTCCTTCCTTGTGACAATAGTTGCATTTGCCTCTCCTTGTCCTAGACTTGGATAGCAAATTTCCTCCACTACTGCTTGAACCAGATTCTCTACCTCTGCCTTGAACAACCAAAGCATCAGATCTTCATTCGAATTTTCAGACATTCTGTTCTTCAACTCTAGTGAATTTAGAGAGGCCTTAACATCCTCCATACAAAGTGTCCCGATCATATAACATGGTTTCCACAAAATTTCCAAACAAATGAGGTAAAAAACACAGCAATATCAAGCCTAATCCTCATCATCAATTTTAATATCCATGGTTTTCAAATCCATAATAATCTTCTTGAATTCATCAAGATGGTTTTGAATAAGTGTACCTTCAGACATATGAAGAGTGTATAAACGTTGCTTCACAAACAACTGATTGGTGAAGGATTTGGTCATTTACAAAGTCTCAACCACCTCACGAAGAACTTTGTTAGATGGCTGCAACTACATTGCAGTAAGTGCCCGAACCAAGATGTCATACTTATCATCATCGGACCACGTCGCTGGCAAAGCTTCCTTACCTTTTAGCACCTTGAGCATTCCCTGTTGCATTAACAAGGCTATCATCTTCACATGCCAAAGACTGAAATCGTTTATTCCCTTAAACTTTTCAATTTCATATCTTGTCAATATATTTCTAGGTTTCATCACAAACACAAAACCCCAAGTCAAAGCTGAAGCTCTGATACTGCTTGTGTGCACGATGGAAAAGGATTTCACAAGATGGCTAAATATGAAACCTATTGACAGGACCTGACCTGGATTCCCCCTCAGAATCCATGACGAACCCTGCTTTTCGTCTGACATCTACCCGATGTTGGACCCACTTTACTAAAAAAACTCTGTAACCCTAATTTAAATGGATAACCAAATCGACTTCTACCGAAATTTTGGCCGAGTCTCCCCTTTAATTGGAACAATTCCCAAATTACAGTACCTGCAAACAAGTACGAAACTAATCCCAACTTCCAGCATGCACAAGGTAAATGCACACACAACAGTTAATATTAAAGAAATGGGCCTTGAAGGGAATATTGTGGGAATGGTGTTGTCTAGAGATTTTTAAAAACTCTACAACCAAACTTTGAGAGTATAAATCACTTAGCATGCCATATCAAATATGAAATTAAAGTAAGGGCGAAAGCATTAAATAAACTGGGGATTCATGCAAGTCTC